TGTTCTCCTCCCTTCCCCACCCCCATTCTCTCGCCAGCTGCAGCCTGGGCATAGCACCAAGACAAACGCTGCTGTCTCACTGTCCACCCCGCTGGGCCAGCCCTCCAGAGGTGGAGTAGGGTAGTTCTTAAAGGGCCCAGCACAGCATCCCCTGCCACCTAGGAGGGGCTGCACAATGATGAGAGGGGAAGCCTGGAAGGTCAGTGCCAGTGTGTCTGGGGAGGCCTGTTTGGGGAGGTGGAGGGAACTCCAGGACTCACAAATCAGGTAGAAGAAGCAAATACCTACCTTTGCTTCACATTTTCTGTGTGTGGCCACCTTGCAAACTAGAAGGGAGAAGGGGAGGAGAGAGGTTAACAGAGGCCCATGGGGGCAGTGGAAGGGACCCTCTTCCATCTCCCCAGGCCCTAGAAGCAGACCACACTTCAGACCTATTAGGCAGGCAGCGTAGGTGAGCAGGGGTGGGGTCTGAGGGAAGAGTAGCAGTGGGTACTACTGCCCAGGCTGGAGGAAGGCAGCCAGAAGTCATCCCCTAGGATGGACAGCAGTGAGGGGAAGAGAAAGGGAAGCTCCCCGGTCACAAGTCAGGATGCGAAGTGGTGGAGAATCTTGGGTTTTCTGGGTGGCACTGGGTGTGCTACAGGGAGCCAGGGTGTCTGAAGGGGAGGCAGCTGTCTCCTCGCTACCCTGGTGTCCGCTGGTGGAACAGCACATACTATAGTTTCCTTCATGTGAGTTGGCCCCAGGAGTTGTGCAGCATAGTGGTGTTGGGTGGAGGGTCTTTGAGCCTCACCTCTGCATGAGACGCCTGTCCCATCGATGGTCACCTTACACACTGCACACACTGGAGCTTTCTTCCGGAAAACCTTCTCCCGGAAGCTATGTGGCTCGGCTTTCCTAGGCTGGGGGGAGGGGGACAGACAGGCAGAGGCATGAGTTCCCAGCAGGCCCATCTTCAGGCCTAGGCAGGGGCCTTGCCTTATCTCTGCACTGCTCTCCTTCCTCTGTTCCCTTCTAGCTCCCAGACTCATAGGACACACTTGGCCACAGCCATTCCAGGGCAGTCATGGGGCCTGTCCTCAACAGTGCTTGGAATGTGACCCTTGTGTCACCTTTGCTGGGTCAGCTCCTCCCCAAGGGATCGGTCAGGCCCCTCACGTGGCGCAGCTGTGTGATGCCTTTGTCACTGCGTGGGTCTTGCCCTCCCCAGATGGAGGGCTGTGTGCAGAGTGAGCAGCGGGTCCAGACACATACGGGGTATCCGCCACACAACCCCAGACTGAGTCCAGCCAGTCCAAGGCAGGAGTGGCCTCAGGCAGCCCCGCTCCCTGCTCCTCCTCCGGTCCCCATGCTCTAGGCAGCTGACATGCCCCCTCCCCCGTGGTCAGAACAACATGTTTACTCTTTGTGCATTGAGGCAGCAGGTAGCAGTTTGTGTGTGGGTGGATGTGGGTGGTGTGTAGTGCAGGAGAGAAAGAAATGATATTCGGAAGAGATGTTTAGCTGCATTGTGGGCTCTGGATGTAGTTCCCAGTAACTTCTCAAGTGGGATTCCATGAGGAGAGGGTGACAGATGCCCTGCCCAGCCAGAGGGACAGGGAGACCCGGCACTGCCTAGACCTAGCTCAGTCCCATCCCACAGAAGGCTCCCTTGCGGACTCCTATCACAGGTCTGTCCTCCCATCTGCTCCCTTGATAGCTCTCTCTTCTATCCAATTTTTCCTGCTAACCAGCTCTCTTTCGCAGACCTTTGGCAGTATTATGTTGTCCTGGGTAAGGCTGGGAAGAAGTGGGGAAAAGGAGTGACAGGGACACAGGAGCACCTCTAGTGTCTGACTGCCCATGGCCCTTTCCAAGGCTGGGCCAGCCTTGTAGGATCTGCTAGGACACTTGGGTGTGCTTGGTGTTAACAGCATATACAGACGGTGTTGGTGAGAGCCCAGCCTCCCGTTCAAAGCACTCTGCAGTCCTGGCCTTCTTCCTGCCTTTCTTGCCACCCTCCCAAGCCATTCCCCCACAAGCTTCCCTGGCTAGGAAACGGGCTGATCTCTTAGCCCTGCTCTTGGGCACCAGGATAGTGCTTGGCTCAGATTTGGGGAACCAGGACCCCCAGGACTGGCCTGAACTCCAGCCAGGAAAGGGATAGAGAAACCAAAACAGATAGCAGGATCTACTCCAACCCAAACATCTGCTCACCATGCAGCCCTGCCACCCAGGGGCCAGAGGAAGAAGGGGCTGCAGGGCAAGGGGAGTGGGCTGAGGAAGCTGGGACTGGGAAAGGGTCTGGCCTCAGCCTGGCCCCTCCCTCCCCCACTTGCCCACACCCCCACCCACCCGCCTTTGCCCAGTCACCAGGCACTCCTACCCTGCTGGTGGCTCGGCTGCTGTCCCTCCGCCCCAGGGCTCTGAGCAGCCTCTCCACAGGGCTGCTGGACTTCATGGTGTCTGGCTGGTTAGGGTGCCGGCTGTGGGGCCTGAACAAAGCTGGGGCCTGGCCTGGGGCTTCCTGGAAGCTGCCTGCTAGGAGGCAGCTGCTTCCCCTGGGCTGAGGGCAGGCTGTCTGGCTGGTGTGAGAAGTGGGGGGGGGTGTGTGTGGGGGAGGCCAGGAGATCAGATTCCCAGGATCTACCCTGCTGAGAGTGCCAGCCCAGGATCTTTTGCTTCCCAAACCTGTCTTGGAGCTGTCCTGTACCTGGTAATCCACCCAACCCAGGGATCTGCAGGGATCCTTGATCCTGAGATCGGCCCCCCTGGGGGCTGGATGGAGATTCAGGCCTCAGGGCAGGGCTCAAGGGCCAGTGGGGAACAAACACTATGTCCCAGCCAGCCTGAGTTTGAACTCTCAGGCTCCCTGGGGACTTCCCAGAGGGAGGGAGTGGAGCTGGAAACTACTACCCACAGTGCTCCAGAAGCCAGTGTCCTGAGGATCAGGGAACATGGGACTTAGAGGCAGTTTCCTGTCTCAGTTTTGCTGGTTGTGAAATAGGAAAAAGAAGGACACTGCCTGCCCTCACCCCTGTGCACTCTTCAAGGCCCAGTTCCAGCCAGAAGACTACCCTGCCCACAAGAGGGATCCATTCTCCTGAAGCCCAAGGCTTTCAAGGTCTTTTTCCTGAAGTCCCCCATCTGCTCTGCTGTTCCTTGGCTTTGTTTCAGCTGTACCTCATACGTCCCTAACCCTGCACCCCAGACCCCAGGGCTGGATGACCCCCTCAAGCCTAAATCTACCTTCATGGCTCTCCTTGGCTCTGCTTGCTTTCCTCAGGACCCTGAGCACTGGACAGGAGGCTTCCTCCTGATGAGTATTCTACCCCCTCCAGGGCCTCCAGCCTGCCTCCTGGGAACATGGCCAACTTCCTGTCCCAGGAGTCAAGGGAAAGATGTGGATGGGGCCTTGGAAAGGGGCAGTCATCTTCCTAAAGCAAAGAAATTACTGATGGGGGTGGGGGTCCTCAGCCCCAAGGGGGGCAGCCTTTTGGACTGGCTGAAGCTGTCACTTGAGAGAATGTGCAGATGGGCCCCTGCATTTGCATGGTATTTACTGAATGTTCCAGTCTCAGCCAGCTCCCCCAGATCTGGCTTCTCCCACGGGTTCCTTCACTTCCCTCCTTCCTCATGCCCATCCCAATGGAGGACTGGTTTAATCCTGCACTTTCTGGGATAAGCCCTGGTTTGGGATCCCTGTTTCAGACACTCCTGGGGACCTGCCTGGACTGGGCCTAGATTGCAGTTTCTCCTTGCAAGAAGCTCCACTTCTCTAGGGCAGGAAGTCTGTCCCCATGGTACCTTGGCCAGGAGGTGGCATTTGTGTGGCAAGGTCCGAGCCTCCAGCCTGTAACTAGAGAGGGAAGCTGGCTTTGTGACTGACCTCCACACACCCAGCCACCTTGCCCTGGCTGTGCCCCAGGACACTCCAGACCCCAGGCCGGGTGGGCAACTGGATCTGGTCTGGGCCAACACCCAGCCCTGCTGCGAAGAACAGATCAC